TAGTTTACTGTTGCCATCGCCTAGCTTCTTTGAGTCCCTTCGAGTAGTTTACTGTTGCCATCGCCTGGCTTCTTTGCGTCCCTTCGAGTAGTTTATCCATCCGCTGGCTTCTATGCGCGCACCCGTGTAATTTGCTGATTACATTATCTTTCCTTTGCATTTCTGTTCCAGCATCCGTTTCGGGGAAGCGAAGATGAGACCGATCTGTTGCCAGCATCCAACCACACGTTTTCTGAGCTATAGGCCGGGGTCATTACGCAGACGGGGTTAGTATTTTTTCTCAGCCACCCGACTATCCCTTCCCACCCATCCTGGAAGAGGCCTTTGCACAAGTACCTGGCTGAGATTCCTTCGTGCCGCTTGCTGACTCTGATGATGTAGTTCCTTCGGTCACCTGCCACGGATGATTTCTCTGGAGGCTCTCTGATATTTGGAGGGGCGGCAGGAGACCAGTTCCTCTAGCATCGCTCCTGATGCAGGAATGGGGACTCCCTGTCATGTGACTCTGCTTGCCACTCCCTGTAGCATCATTGACGGTGGTGGTCTGTGAGTGCTCTCTGGTACGATTCTAATCAAGCTAGAGAGGGGGGACCACCAGTCCCATTTCAGATACGGTGGTAATGAAGAACCAAACTCTAGAAGGGGGAGGGAAAAACCTTGCATCTAAAAAAAAAAACAAAAAAAAAAACTTGCATCTGATTCATCAGTAGGGTACGAAGTCGGTAGATGTCGAAGCAGACATGGCCAGGGGTCTGTCGAGAAAGGAAAGACTTCACCATCGGGCTTCACTGCACCAAAGGAGGCGTTGGACAATGAACTTTCCGTAAGAACATGGAAAGATTCACTTTCATATGTTTTGTCTTTTGTGAATGTCGAGCTCAGTCCAGCCGGGGCCATCAAGTCATAGCCCGTACCCTACGATGTGGAAGAACGTAAGTGTGGGGTACACAGCCGGAATATTTTTTTGCCCCGCGTGAAAAAAAAAGCTCGTTGGATGCTGCGTGCTAGGTCTGAAGACAGGAACAGGAGCAATGTTCTGTCTTAGCCCGAAAATTAGGTACGTTCCTTGTATACGAATACAAGCTACGGGGTGCCTGGTATCCGAATACGAGGTACGTACCTTGTAGAACGAATTTTAGGATGCGACTTTCTTAGGCAAGAGGGGAAGGAAAAAGAAAAAGTATAGTGTTATGCGACTTCTACGCACCCTCGAACGAGTCGTACTCCGTATTCGTACGCTCAGGCCTGTAATGTTTTTCTCAGATTATAATTACTCTTCAGATGACGCGCAGCCAAATGTTGCTTGTTTTGTGCTTCTGCATAACATATTTGTTTTATGGATGTGACCTTTTCTTTACTGTACCAGGGAGTACAAGACGTATAGGTTTCCGTACAGGTTCCCAGACAGGTTCCCGTACAAATATTAATTGTACGTTTTGTACGGAAAGGTTGTTCGGAAACGGGGCTGCAGTCTCTTTTTTTTTTTTTTTTTGAAGAACACGTTGACTGCGCTGCATCCTCACGATCCTGCATGCATTAGAACGCTGTGTGTGTGTGTGTGTGTGTGTGTGTGAGAGAGAGAGAGAGAGAGAGAGTTATGCAACAGTTACAAGGCACAACGCACCTTGTATTTGAGTGTACCTTCTATTCGAAAATTTGACAGCGATTTCTTAGAAACCGTTCTTCGGATGTAACTTGAATACAAGGTACGTACCTTGTTTTTGGGTTAAGACGGTAGTAGGACTTGGTTCCAGGTGCATCATGGCTGGCCGTTACCCGGGGAGTTAGGGAGAGCGCATGGGGGGCGGGGGCAAGAGTCGGGGAAATCTGAGGTGGGGTGAGGTGGAGCGAGGGCTCAATGTGTGTTAACACCCAACCGACTTAGGGTTAGTGTGCGTATCCCACCTTGTTCTGCAACTGAAGGAGGTTCCGGTAGCAACGGAGGGATGTGGAAACGTGAGGAGATGTGGCCTCCTGGGAGCGAACGACAGGATCCGCTTTTGGGCAATATCGGAAGAGGGAAGGGTCAGTACTCTCTTCCCAAAGGGTGGCGTATTTTTATGAGTGAAGGGTGATTTTTTTGTGTTTGTCCATTGGCGGGTTTTG